TCAGGTCAGTATGTTATTGAATAAAATGTTACAGTCTCCCAACAAATAAAACAAACTCTCCTGTTAGATATGTTAACATGGGGGTAGGAGGACAATAACCTCACAGGCTCCCCGAAAGGCCTGTAAAACTGCCCCCGGACACACAGGATGGCACAGAACACTGCAGATTTAGAACAAAACTTCAGCTTACGCTGTCTTGCCCTCGCTGTCGTGCTTCGTGGCACTGGCCCCCTTCTTGCCCAGCAGAGAGGCCACCTTCTCGGCATCGCCATTCTCCACAGCCTGCAGCAGCCGGTCATCATTCTTGTTCCACTCGTTGGTCTGTGGGCAAGAGGGAGACACAGAGCTCGTGAGCGAGTCCACAGCCACGTTGACTGACGGCCCTCCCGGCCCACACCTGGAAATCAACATCTGCCCCCAAATGTGCAATCTTAAAAATACCTTCCCCTTCCCCACGGGGACACCCAAGAAGGTTGGTTTTCCAAAAGGAAACATCCACAGGCCAGTGGAACAGAGGCTGTCAGCAAACTTGGAAACAGAGTTAGTTCTTTTAACAGCATTGAAATGAAGCGGCTTAAAAGGACCTTGAGGTCAGTTTACACATTAGCTTACTTCTAGTGAAACTCAACAGCTGGCCCTCAGAACACTGGCCTTTGACCTGACCCACCGTTCACTGGCCCTACGACTTTACAGAATCAAGTTGGCCAACAGTTCAATAGTTACCTGCTTTTGTGGCCACTCTCTGGCCTGTTCACTGGGCCCTGATTTTGAACCAAATATATGAAAGCCAGAGATCCTGTTCAACATCCCACAATGCACGGGACAGTCTCCTCTCCCAACACAGAGTGTTCTAGCCCGAACTGCCAATATTGCCTTAGCCCCGTGTGACTTTAAACAGTAGACACGGTGGCTAATGTGCCTGATAATGGAACTCTTCCCTTTAATTCTTGATCTCAAGCCCAGCGGCTAGTAGCTGTCTTATACACAGCGCAGTTCGACACAGTCCTCTAAATGCTCCCTCCAGGCTAAGGTCCAAGCTTCTACCATGAACTCACTCACAGGTATTAGGTGTTTTTTTTTTTTTTAATTATAAGTTGATTTTTTTTTTAACATCATTTTGTGCCTTTTTCCATATCAGTTGTAACTCCCGTGGACTTCCCACCACCAGTTCACCCATGTGCCATCACCATAGTCCCGTGCACTCCTCCCCGCCCCCGATTTTTGCTCCCATTCTCCACTCCACCCCCGTAAAATGTCTCTGGTATATAGCAGTTCATTATTATTATTATTATTTTTCCCCTGGTCCAATATACTCCTGCTGTGAGAGAAACCACCTGGTAAAAAAATTTTTTCCTTTTCTTTTTGGCTTATTTCACTAAGCAAGATCCCTTCCAGCTCCATCCATATTGCTGCAAAAGGCATGTGTTGATCTTTTTTGGTTGCTGAGTAATATTCCATTGCCTATATGTACCGCATCTTTTTAATCCAATCAGACATTAGGTTTTAACTTCAATTACAGAGCAGGCTGCCTAGTGAAGGGAAACATAATAAAAATAGTGTCCTTGGCACAGACACTTGTTACTAGACAAGGAAGTTTACTTAGCAACAAAATGCAGCAATACCAAAGTAACTGACTGCATTTTATTTACTCCATACTGCATTTTCACAAGCCAAAGCAAAACAATAAAGTTTATAAAAGTACACTTAGGGCCAACTATTTCTACTTACGTTATCCCAACGCTACATTCTTAGCGCTGTCTTTTAAAATCCTTCCAGATCTTCACAGGACCAAATTAAAAATGGATTGGGAAGATCAAAAGGATATTAAATCTCCAAGGACAATAGGGAAAGCACTTAAGCAAAGAGGTCACGTGACAGGATTTCCCTTTTCAGTGTCTCCAAGGCACTCAACTCTGGGGTAGAAAAATCTGATTGTAGGGGCTCCCTAAAATCAGTCACATGTGGATCTTTAGGGAGTTCAATTCCATACAACATAGAAATATTCCCCCTCCCTTACTCTTTGGAGGACAAGCCTATGGCATTTTGAATGCTAAAATTCTTTGGTCTAGAGTTTCTTTTAGATGCAAAAGCCAGAGGTCTCTTTCTCTGAGTGCAGATGAGGCAGAGACAAGACGATCCACACACAAATATTGAAAACATTTATTTGCTTGTTTATCTGAAACATACAAAAATATTGAGTAAATCTGTTAATCCCAACACTGTCCAAGGAGGCCTTTATTATATTGTTTCCTAATTATTGTATCCAGTGCTACATTTTATACCCCAATTCTACAGCCAGTCACAAAAGGAGACAAGCGTGTGTCTAATAAACACTTTTCATGTCATTGCGCTTAGGATGCCAGAGGCAAATTCCTCTCCCCCACTTGCAGCCCTCTGGATTGGTGCGAAACTGAAATCAAGCATCAAAAGGAATCCTAGAAAGTCATCTTGTACATCTACTGTCCAAAGGTAGAGCTGTTTAGAAAAATAAGCTGTGATATTGTAATGTAATAAGAAATACACATCTGGCCTTTGTCCTGGGTTCTCAGTAGATGAGCTCCCCAAACTCCCAGAATTTCCCAAGTGCTTTGTGATTTATAAGAAATTCCTTTCAACCAGTGTGGAGTTTATGCTAATGAGGTGACTGGTGGCAGGAAGTCCCTAGATAGCTTCAGGATGGGGGCTGGTTGCCAGAGGAACCAAGCAGCCATTAGAGGGATGGAATGCTCAGCCCCACCCCCCACCTCCTGGGAGAAGAGAGGGGCTCTAGATTAAGTCAAATGCAATGATCTCATCAATCCTGCCTAAACCATGTATTGGGCTCGGAGAGTTTCCATGCTTAGCAAATACAGGGAGGTTCTGGGAAGACGCACCCCCACCCTCACCCCACCCCATCTCTCCCATACCTTCTCTAAAGCATTTTTCAGTTTCGAAGCTGCAGCCTTTATCATAAACTGTAGTGATAAGTAAAGTGCCTTCCTGAGTTTTCTTGTGAGTCATTCTAGCAAAGGATTGAATCTGTGGGGTTGTGGGCCCCTCCAAATTTCACAGCTGGTTTTGCAGAAGTATTGGAGGCCCAGAACTTGCAGTTGACCCCTGAAGTGGGTCAGCTTTGTGAGGCTGTGCCCATAACCTGTGGGATCTGATGCTAACTCTGGCTCATTCATATCAGGATTGAACTGCTGGACACCCGACGGGTGTCGGGACAGTTGGAAAATTAACTGTTGGTGTAAAGAAAATCCCCACACATTTGGTAGGAGAGTTCTGTATAAGCAGATCTTACGACAGATGAAGTCATGAGATGCCAATGTAACTCATCCAGAATCCAGAGCTGGGCGAGGCCCCCCGGGACCACCAGCCCAGTAACAGCACCCCGACCTCCCAGTAACAGCACCCCGACCTCACCACTGCCCACAGAAAGCCCTCTGCCACAAGCTAAGCTCTGTGTTTTCAACCTATCATTGGGTTAAGCCAATTTTTTTTTTGCAAAGTGAAATAAAAAAATAGAACATATCAATATATCATATTGAATAAGGTTAAATGTTTTAGGAACTTCTGTCTATTGTGTACGCGCATAGCGGAGTTTGACAGAAAATCTCTCATCTTACCAGGAATCACAGTAAAAGATTTCAGAGGCCACTGTGTCAGCCTGCGCTGGCAGTCCTTACTGGGAGCCTCAGCCACACCCCGCAGGCTCTCCCCAGCCTTCCCTGCTGACCTCTCTGCTCCTCTCCCTCGTCCTGTCCCCCAGGGCCGCCCACTCATCCAGAGGAAGCCCACAGTCTAGACCGGATGACATATCGCGCCCGGCCTCTGCTGGACAGCTCAGCGCGTGTCCTCCTGTCTCTGGGCCTTCGGTTCCCAGCGGCCCACAGCCGTCTGCAGGTCTGACTGCTGTGGTGCCCTGCAAGTGCTCGGTGCTTTTGGCTGATTTTCACTGGAGCTTCATCTCTTCATGAACCTCAATCTCTCCTGACAGAGCAAAATGTGTTTTTTTCATTTATTAAATGCTTGTGTTGCTGTGCAAATAATTAAATATCCTTCAAAATTAAATAAAAAAAAGTACGGATTAAATAAATAAAATTCAACTCCCTTAATTTTTCTAAGGCAAATTTTCCAAGACTTCAATCATGGGAAGATTTTCTCCAAATCTCTTCACAGCCAAGGAAGGGGGACTTACCAATTCGTGAGGGTGAACCGAGGGGTACTTGTTAAATGGAGCAGAATCACAGGCCCACCCAAACCACAGCCCGGGCTCTCCTGGCTTCGACTGCTAGTCCTGGATCAGGAATCTAGGCTGAGACTAACTAACACCCTGTACTGGGAAAGATTTTCTTTCTCCATAAGGTTTCGTTAAGGAGCTTGGGGAGGAGTGGAGAAGAGTATTATTCTTCACTTTTTCCAGTTGGAACTAGTATGCTGTCTACCACAGAAACTTAATAATAACTATTAGGATTTCCCTAGAACATTAAAGACAGCAACGCTCATCATAGGCCAAAATTACCAGTAAGTCAAATGCCCAATCACAGAAGGTGAATGCATTACAATATAAGCAAATACCAAGTGACAATGAGAAGGAACAAACGAGAAGGACACGTCACCCCATGGATGGCTAAAAACAACACTGCTGAAAAGAAGCAAGACACCGACACACAAAGAACAAGGCACAAGAGAACACGGTGTCATGACTGTAAGGAAAAGGTGTGACAGACAAACTGGACCCCGTCTGTTTAGGGCTGCAGACACAGGTGGCACATTATAAAGACGAGGTCGAGGCTACCAGAAAGTCAGGGACATGTGAGGGGCGAGGGCATGTGTGTGGTGGGGGGTGGGGTGCACTAGGAACACGAATGTCCTGCCCAGTTTAATGGCCCCATCAGTGGTGCCCCAGAGGCTCACTGTTACATGTGTCATCCTTGTTCTGTACAATTTTCTTTATACACGCCCCTCCCCTCCTCCTGCCCTCTTATCCACCCCCCACCCCCAGTCTCTGTCATGCGTTCGCACGCACACACACGCACACGCACACACACGCACAGAATTTAGAAAGAAGTCTGCGGTTTAGTATCGATACACCAAGTGTCTCTGGCACTGGAGTCTGCATTCTGGCTGTTACCTCACCTCTAAAGTGAAGGCGGCTGACTGGGTGCTGAAATCTGGCTCGGAGGCAGCTTCATATATCTTTTTAAGACTCTGACAAAGTTGTGGACATTCTACAGAATAATGCACGTACACACAAAAGCTTACGTACAATTTCAGAGGTTTTCCAGTTTCAACTCCTATCCCCAGCCCATCCATAAACTCAAGCTAAGGAAGAAAAG